CACACGAGAAGTGATAAGGAAATAACGCGAGAACCCGCGTGCGTCTGACCGGAGTTCTCCAGCAAGACTGTAATTAGGCTGTAGGTCATCGCCAATGTGTTTTTCAGTCAGAACTCATTGCACACAGCGTGATTGTGAATCGCCGACACCTCCAGATATTTAGCATGCCAAATATTTTGCAGGCGTCGGCTATTCTCTCAGATCGCGTCTTTGCAATGTCTGCAGACTGGTGTGAGCAGTGAGGCTGGAGAAGTCCACAGCAGCATCCTGGAAAAGTGTGGAGGCAAGTAAATAATGACTGAATTTATGTTTAGATGAACTAACCCTTTAAAGCCCCAAATAGAAACTGTATGAAATATATGTAAGCATTTATATTATAGTAGTACCTTGAAGAAATTAACTAAGCAACTTTATTGAGCGTTTGTGTCCAAGACACAAAAAAGGATTTACAAAAATTACATTTATTCATTTGTCAGACACTTTTATCCAAAGTGACTTTCATTGCTCTTATTACAGGGACCCCAATCCCCCTGCAGCAACCTGGAGTAAAGACACCGGTGGTGACGACTGTGGAGATCAAACCAGCAACCTTCTGCAAGCACTTTCGGCCGTATTTGTATCCCGGTCCTGTTCTTGGTTGAGTTGTTTTTGTTCCTGTTTTACATTATCTGTTTTTGTTGATTAAATCTAGTTTCTCCTGCACTTGGACCCAGACCCTGTTTTTCTACGGTGCTCTCTTACCAGACCGTGGCATGTGGTTCAGGAGCGTCATCATGGTCTTCCTCATCCTCTCTGTGTACTCGGACAACAATAGCCTCGATGTCCCTTTCTCATCCATGATCAGATTCAGTCTGACTGCAGCAGTGAAGGTCGTGATGGACGGCAGAGACAGGTGAAGGTGGACACAGTGGTCTTCATCAGAATAAAGCTGCAGAACTGTCTCAGCTGTGTTGAGATGCAGTAGATGTGGCTTCACTGTCTGTAAATACATGTTAGAACAATATGTTTGAATAAAGCTTTGTTTCATGTGTCGATCACTTGTATTTATTTGTCATGGTTACTTTTATTTATTATTTTACTCATTTATTCATGT